AAAAGTTCTAATACATTTAAAAACAAGTGTAATTTTTGGCATCGCAAATGTCTCCAAAAATTTTTACCTTCAAAAGACGAAAAAAAATACGTCTACCTACCCACACTTCCACCTCACTTTAATTTTCCAGTACCTATTCAATTTCTCTGCATAGTCATGTGTATTCAAGCTAATGTCGAAAGGTGATAGTTTAGTTGGAAAATATGGGTAAATGAGAAATCGAAGTGGTGCCGCCTTTCATTCTATCCCATATTTCAGGCTAGGCCTTTTCACTGATAATGGAAAACCATGAGTCATGGCCAGGATGCGAATAAAACAACCACACAAAGGTCATGCCTGATGAATCTGCGCCCATTCCACCGGAAATTATGAGAGCATTACCCAATCAAATGCCTAATGCCACCTCCGGCGGCAGCGAATTCTGCATCTCTTTCATCTCTACCACTTACAATGGTTGTCTGCACCACCGCCGCATTGCAAGTCATCGCCCCCTTTAAATTAATGAACTTGTTTCACTTATAGCCAATAGAAAGGCTTCACATCTTTTGCTCACAAAACGACTTTAGAATTTGTATATGTAGGAATAGGAAGATATTTAAATGCTCATTTACCTTTCTTAATAGAAGCAGATGTACTTCTTTTGGGGATCGGGAGTTGTTGAAACACCAGAGGGGCCATCACCTGTTTTAATTTTTTGCTTCCTTAAAAGGGCCCAGAGCAATATTTGATTGTATAAATTGGCTGTGTCATTTCGAACCTTTCCTCACAATCTTGCATCCGATCAATTGTGGTGATTACACATGCAACTCTTTCATACCAGACAAAATTGGCATATTCGACATTGCCAATCCTGGAAACGCCTACAACAAATATTCTCAGATCGGATCCTTCAAATGTGGCTAAATATCCTTAAATGTGTAGAAAATAGCAGCATTTGCACTTCAGTTGTATTCCTGAACGTAAAAGATGATGCGATTAAAAATAAACACACTTACGGTAGTGGGACCACTCGGATTATAGAAGAGCAATTCCTCGCTAAACGTGCGAAATTCTGATTGATTACAAGCATTAACTGTAGGTTAGGTAACATTAATCAAATGTAAAGGACACGAGATACGCTTATGAACAAATAACAAGTAGGCCTAGGCAAATTTGTAAAGGATGTCAAATGATGTATGTCAGATTCTTTGGAAAAAAAGACGTACCCATGATGTTTCTTTATATCTTGAATGTCAAGTTTTGTTCTATG